CTGGAGGAGTGGAGAAGCTCTTCTCTCTGCCAGCTCAACCTCTCTGGAATGCCAGGCTGCTCAAGGTAGAAATGCTATAAATATTTATGCATATATATATATGTTTTTGGTAAATACATACATACATTCACAGCTATTTGAACATGTACTGAAAATGTCAGTTGTCTACCTAAAATCCTTGCTAAGCAATAGTACCATTTGGAGAGCAGTAATGAGCAAGCCTCAACGGAGATCTGATTCTGTGTGTCAGACACTGTGTAATGGAAGGGGAGAGAGTCAATTTCTAACATTGCATTTTTCATTGGCATTCTTATCAGGCTGTGGGATTTAAAATGAGAACACTGAAGGAACAGGAGGTGGAGGAAGTGATTGGTTTTGTCTCTTTTCTTGGTCCTTTCACACCCACGTTAGCCCTCCTGAATACTCAATGGAAAACGTGTTGATGCATAATTTAGCAGAGTTTGCTTTTGTCTTGCATAAGTTCCTTCCTCCACTTTAATTTCATTACATTGTTTTGTTTTGTTTTTTGTTTTTTAAAATACAACTTACCTCCATGTTTAACTGTTAAATATCTGATTTTAGATGTTCACACGCTGCCTGACGCCTCTGGTGCCAGACGAGCTGAGGAAGAGGAGAAAGGGCGGTGAGGCAGACAGTCTGGATGAATTCCTCAAAGAGCTGGAGAACCCAGAGGTGCCTAGAGAGGAGGTCACAAGTCAGCACAGAGATGTTATCGGTAAGTCATGCTGGAACCAATGAGAGGAGGTGATATGGCAGTGCAGACCTGTCATTAATTTTGTGAGAAAGGATCTTCCCTGTCTGTCTCTTCTCTGAATAACATTTATTTTTACCTTCCATTAACAAGCTGTTGTATCTGTCTCTCAGACCAGACTATCATGGAGGAGCCCAGTATGCTGGCAGCCTCTGCAATGGAGGGTAGCAGGACGACTTTGGATGAAACTGTCATGCCTCCTCCCTCCACCCCCCGTGGAGTCAAACGCAAGACCATTGACAAAGAGAGCACCCTTCCTGTGAGTGTTTGCCATTTAAACTACAGCTTTTCTCACATACTGTATTGAGGCTGCCTGAGCCCCCCTTGAATTTAATGTAACAATAGAAAAGTGTAGAAAGTTCACCAGGACTGAAATGTAACTTGCAGTTGAAAAGTCTCTGATGGTAATTGATTTTGGTCACAATAAACAATATCTATCAAATGCAAAGATTTCCTGATATTCAGGTCACATTGATCCTATCTGTTGTCCAATGGACGTTACAACTGATGAGAATTTACTATTTTGAATTTTCTGAAGCAGTAACCCAGGAAAACACACAACAATCAAATGTAAAAAAAAAAACAAAATATAATTGAGTTGACTACACTGAGTCCTGATTTGCGTGTGTCCTTTCTCTTTCAGATGGCTCCCTTGGAGCAGCAGCAGCCACAGGTGGCCGACCGCTCGGTCTTGTCTCAGGTGGATCTGCCCCCAGAGGAGAGCAGTGTCAACCTCACCCAGCTTGTCCCTGAGCTTGACCTCCTTGGTGAGAAGTCGAAAGACAAGAAGGATGACAGTGATGAAGAGGAGGTGAGAGGAAATAATGTTTTTAGTGGAACTGTTGAAAAGTTGTAGTAAGTAGTGACATAATATATTTTCCGAATATTGTGAGATTGTTCAACAGCTGCCAGAAATGCTTTAATCAAATTGACTACCAAAGAAGTACAACAAAACAAAACCACATTAAAAGAAAAAAAAAAAGATATAAGGCTAAATTTACAGTAAGCTATTTAGCAGTCTATAGGAAATACCTTACTGTAGCTTTTTTTCGATTGTATGTGTATCTATGAAAGTCTGTGAGTAAATGCTGATCACTGTGTGTGTGGTCCTCAGGAAGAGGAAGGGCAGGCTGGAGACCAGGATCAGGAGGAGAAGAGATGGAACAAGAGAACCCAGCAGATGCTGCACGGTCTCCAGGTAAAAGAGCTTTTACTGTGTTCAGATGTTTGTGAACACATAAATTTGAGTAAAAGGAACCTGTCATAGTAATTTTACTTACATCTGCAGATTTCATTTTAGTTTCAGTAGATTCCAACATGGCCTTACTTTTATCTACCTTGTGCAACACAGTTGTTCAGTTTCTCTGTATGGATTTATTTGAAATGGAACATCTAAACATCTTGGGGAACCAAGCTTGCTGGCCTATGTATTTAAGCTGAGATTTTGTGCTTCTGTCTCCACAGCGCGTCATGGCTAAGACTGGTGCAGATTCAGTTAGTCTGCTTGACTTGTGCCGGAACAACAACAGGAAGCAGGCAGCCGCCAAGTTTTACAGTTTCCTGGTCCTCAAGAAGCAGCAAGCCATCGAGGTGACCCAGACTGAGCCCTACAGCGACATCATCGCCACTGCTGGACCAAGATTCCACCTTATTTAGACATTGGAAGAACAGACAAACACTCTGCTTGCAACAGGCATACTTTTTTAATTACTCAACTTTTTGCCTTTTTATTTTGTGTTTTCCTGTCAGCCCCTTTTTTTTTTCCTGGGGAAGGGGAGGGAGTAGTGGGGAATGGGTTGGAAACATTTTAAAAAAGGATTTTACTGTACAACAGATGGAATCATGCAGTATTCTTGGTTCAAATGGAGTGAGGAAGAATGTTTAACAAGTATATTTATAAAGCAACCTTTTTCAGTCACCAATTTGTAAACTTTGCTTCATTTTGTTTTGTAAGTTAAATTTCTATTGTCTGCTCATTCCATAAGTTTTGTACCATTGCCCCTCTATCAACTGAAATATTGCAGATTTTAGATCAAGGCCCCGTATGCTCACATGGACTCCTGTATTGACTGTGTACATGTTCTGGAAAGGTACTGTTTTATTGCTCAGAAGTGTAACCTCTCCCATCTTCTCCTTGTTGCACTTGTTCTCGGATAAACTAAAAGGTTAACCGTCAAAAAAATTGGTAAATCTTACCTGGCATTAACTATCATGTTGCAGATGTATAATTCAGGCAGTTTATCGATTAAGTTTTATGTAAATTTCTTTTTTGTACCTTTTTACGTTTATGCTTATTCACCTTTTTGCATTATGTAACTAGGTAATGTACTTGTTACAGTTAAGTTCACTATCCCACCTTTTTAGTCTTTGGGTAACTTCTAGTTGTGATACATCTGTAAAGATTTGAAATAAAGTGTTTTAAGTACATGGATATGTAACTGGATACTTATTCATTGAAAATGCCATTTTAAATAATGGTCTTTATGAAGATAATGTTAGTGTCAAATGTTTTAAAACTTTATCACGGTCTAGTAAGTGCATTATTTCTAAGTAACAAATAGAATATTTTATCATATGATCAATCAAAAAACAATATTTATAGAAGACAATATTCAAAATACAGACTCCAGAATAGAAAGTCAGTGCAACTGAAGTGAATACACCTGTGATCACTGATGCACAATTTAGAGAACCTGTGATCAGTGAAACTAAACAGAGTCAGTGATTTTAGACTTGTATGCTGTGTTACAGGACAATGATGGTGACCAACTAAAACTCAGCCACAGTAGCAACATTAATCAAGAGGTTTAGAACCAGCAGAAGTACCACTAATCAGAGCTGCTTCACTACCCTCATAAAATGACACAGTGAAAAGTATACTGCTGGCATAATCTAGCTCTGAAAACAAACGTGCTTCAGACTTGGCACAGGGGTTATCAATGGGAATCTGAGTTTCTGTGATAGCTCAGAAGATACTGAGGACATTGCGTGACATCAGCCTGTATGGATGTTGTCCAAGAAAAACACCACTGGCTGCTCTTTGACAAAAACTGCAAGATAAAACTTTGTTAACGGACATAAAAAGAAACCTGATAAGTATTGGGAGCACATTCTTTGGTTCTTTGTTTGGCTCAGATGGACTCCAGGATGTTTGGCATGAACGTGGTCACTACCAGAATGAATGCATAATCCAGACAGTGAAGTATGAAGGTGGGAGTGTGATGATATGAGGCTGCATGAGTGCAACAGTTGAGTGGATGGTATTTATAAATGGCACCATGAATGCATGTGGAAATACAAAATAGTGGCTGACAAGATAGCCCTGTGATAGACTGGTGACCTGTCCAGGGTGTCCCCTGCCTTCGACCTAAATCAGCTGGGATAGACTCCAGCCCCCCCGCGACCCCAGTGAGGGTTAAGCAGTGTATAGATGATGGATTGATGGATGGATGAATGGATGGCTGACAAGATGACTGCTAGTTTCCAGGAGTTTGAAAGATGTAGAATATTGCAGCATGACAACAGTCCAAGACACACTGCCAAAAGTCAAAAGCAGTTTCTAAAGAAGAAAATAAATGAAAACTATGACCTGGACAACTATGTTACTTGACCTGAATGCCATAGAACACTTCTGGGGTATTTGAAAGAGAAAGCTAAAGCAACTCAACTCCTCCAGCAAAAACGTGGCTGGGAAAAAAGGTTTACACCTTTTGTCGAGGAGGACTGAGTCTGTCATTAAAAATAAAGGCAGGCACAAAAAAGATCTGAATCTCAGTAATGAAAGATGTACTGAGTTTTGCTCCTACAGTGGTTTTTAATATAGTGGATCCTAACTGTTAGCTTTTAATTTTACATCAGAGAAAATACGCTACTATTCAACTTAGAAGTAATGTGATTATTGTTGTGTGTTATAATTCAGATGTATTTATTTTTTTGACAATCAAGTAATGTCGTGCAAAAATGTACCGGGACTCATTTTTGTCGTATATCGCATTTCTAAAATACAAAGATTTTGAAATGGGGTCTGAAATACAAGATATATTCTTGATTACCCGTATTAATATCCCAATGTTCTACTTTATTCAAAAAAACAAACAAACAAAAAAAACAACAACAACATTAAAAAGCGAAAAAACAACCTCTGTACCAAAACAGAATCGGACCGTAGTATTTGTTTCTGTACGGACAAGAAAACGGACGCACCTTTAGCGGAAACGTCCGTCACCGAACTCTTCCCTCTCTTTTTCCGCGTGTAGAGGCGCAGATATGGCTTCACGTAAAGAGACTGGCGCTGCCTCCAGCACCCCGATGGCTTCAACCGGCGGCACTTTGGACTCCCCGGTCAAGCAGATCCAGATTGAGGGCCTGGTAAGTGTCACTGCGGGGCCGTGTGGCTGTGTGTTGGATTTTGGTGACGGAGGAGAAGAGAAGCCGGCGTTCACCAGCTGTGGATGCTAAAGCGTTAGCATCATCATGGCGGAGAGATGGCGTGAAGCCGCTTCAGGTTCTATTTAACAGACTAACAGATGTCTGCTGCGTTTCTTGTGTAATTTACTATCGTACATTAGTGGAAAACAGCGATTTGATTCCTATTTACAGCCTCACAACTGGCTTAGCAGGCTAACAATAGGCTAACCGTACTGGCCCTTTAATGGAGCCAGTGTTTAACTTTTCAGTCACCTCCAGGGACGTATGCTGAAAACTAGGACCTCCTCTGTAGAGGGGGCACCACAGAAGGATGTTGATGCTGCCTCCTGTTCTTTCATGTATTTATTTATATGTATTTACAAATACAGGACTGTTTATCAGAGGTATTTCTTATGTAAGTATTACAATAGCAAACTAATACTCAGGTGACAGTTATGTCTTTTATATCCTGAAGCTTTTATTCTTCGGGCAATTTAGGTTGTACATGATATTTTACTTCCAGTTGTTCATGTTTTAGTTGATGTCATATATTTAGAACTCTTAATTGCACTAATCCATGTTTTCATTATTACAGTAACTCTGTTTTGTTTTTTTGTTTAAAAAAAAATAATTTTATAGCTATTCAAGTTTAGTGTTTATTCGGCTATTTTGCTAAGGAGGTCTCTGTACCTCACTGTATTTAAAATAAGGTTGAACGACTATGACAGGCTTCACAGAAGGTGTGTGTGCGCCTCTCAAACAAAATGTATTGCATCTATATTGTTTGGGATTTTCACCACATTCTTGATTTCAAACAATACGATTGAAGCATTGATATGAAAACAACGTTTTGTTTCTCAGTTTTAAAATGCAGATTAGTAGAAACAAAAAAACTGGAGTGCACTGTTTTCTGCCTACCAACACAAAGTGGCTCATCTAGGATTGTTCTTGTTCTCTAGTCTATTTTCATGCCTTTTGAAATGTTTTCATACCTGTTGAATTGCATTGGAAGGTACTTAACTCTTATACTGACTGTGGAAGTTTTCAAACTCAATACAATCAGGGAGTTGGGCACTCTAAAGGATCACTTGGAACTGTTGTTTGTGAGTGTATGTTAACATGCACTGCTGGGCTGCTGTTTTTGGTTGTAGGCTTCTTGTACCTGTACTGAAATTATTTGTTGCTTTGAGTTATTACACATTTTTACTTCTGTAGTTGTTGTTGCTTCGTTGACTTGTTACTAATCTCTGCTACGTTATCATTAACAAGTAAATTGTGAGACACATGTTGAAACTGAACAACCCATATTCACTTTTATGTTCTGTAGTACCACAGTGCAAACAGCAGAGGACAAACTTGCTTCACTGCCATGCACTTACATCCTCCCTCCTCCTGCCCCGAACTGCGCTGGACACAAAGCAGCTTATTTTCCTGGTGTGCCTGAACACACTGGTAGGACTTTAACTTGCCAGCTGCTACTTTCCTTTTATCTTGCTCATTAAAGCTACCCTAGAGTCTTGGGCTCTAATTTCAAATCTAAATATTTCACCTCAGTGTGTATTATTTAGACCTCTAATGAGATTTTCTTAATTCCTTTTCACAGCCTTATCGACCAAATATTTTAATCACAGCACTTAAATTAAAAACAGTCAAGAACCGTTTAATGCGTGACCTCATTTGGATTCAGACTGTTGTAGGAAGGGTGTCTATTTCAGCCAGAGTTATGAAATGCGTTTCACCTGAATGCATTGATATGCAGCGGTTGCTGCCGTGTTGCGTCATGACCCGTCTGTCAGAGGTTTAGCTGGAGGGTTGCCCATAGACGGCATCACTGCTGCTGTGTAGTAGAATTGGATTGTTCCTTGCTTTAGAAGAGGCTTCATTCGTTGATGTTGCCACGGGAGTGGAGTGCAGCACAGCAATGGCTTCCATTAAACACCTACTGAGATCATACAATTGCCTCTGTGTTTGAAAAAGACTTTATTCTGATGCATGATGCACGTCAGACAATAGTCTTACTCATGTACCAAGAATTAAGGAGAAGGCAGAGCATTGTGTGCAGGACATTTGAGTTTTGGGACTTGAATGCTGTGAAGAATAAAATCTTTTTTTTTTTTTTTTTTTTGCTGCTTGACACACACAAAAAAAGAACCCTCACATGATTCTCATTTTCCATGACCAAAAGGAGTCTTTCTTGTGGATCATAATTTACTTCAATTAAATTGCTCTTGGATACACTTTTTTTGTTTGTTTTTGTTTTGTTTTTTAACTTTACTTAAAAGACATATAGTTTGTTGGCATATGGGCTCTGCATGTGCACAGCCAAACAGGCAGGAAGAGAAACACTGAAAAGGTATATTTGGTTACAAAAAGAAGCCACACTTGTATGTTAATGGATGGGATGTATTGGATACAAAAAGGATGATGTTGACCAAAAGCCAGTACTCCGTCGGCAGTGTCTTGCAATTGCCGAAGCAACACAGCTAATTTGTTTGGCCATTAAAATCAGCACCACAAAGCTCTGTGTGATGAGAGCAAAGCCAGATCTGAATGTCATCCAAAGCAACAAAACTATTTGGGAAGCCTTTGCCAGCGTTACACCATATGAGAACAGTTCCAAACAGCTTTTTGCAGCTTTTTTTTTTTTAATTAAATTTTTTTGTTGGTACAGACTCAGTCTCTTACAAAACCACCCTAATCATTCTAAACTGATAATTTATTTCCAAATAGTTACTGAAGTTATGTGATCAAAATTCCTCTTTTTTTCAAATCACACCATCAAAACATAAAAACATTTCATTTAACAGTGGCAGTCAGTAGTTTATTCACTAAGTATAGGAATGAAACAACACTGTCAGCCAGAACAATCCCTTCTCCCCCTGAGGGTTTTACATATGCTTCAGGTGCTTTATCTTGAGCTGCCATGGACACAGCAGATAGCTTACTAATCCTGCGTGAATGTACAAACATATGTTCCCATATGTACTTCTCCATAGTCCAGAATCTACACGTTATATTTACCTGCTGCATACAATAATTTGGAATCCGTCCTGGGCTGGCTTATTTGGTGACACCTGGGGTTCCTTTGATGAATCAGGTGTGATTTAGTACTTCGTCAGACTGAACGACTACAGTGTAAAAAAAATCATATATATGGCAAAAGTGCAGCTGGTGTATTTGTACACAGTCAAACAAAGCTGTATTGTTGAAATGGCAAAATAATAATTTTTTAAAAAGTCAGTCAAAAATAACTAGATTTCATGCCGTTTGTGGTTTCATACAGTTAAGTTGGTTACCTTGCTGAGGATGAGGAGGTGTGCAGCCTGGTGGCTACAGTGTGCTTCTTCTTGTGCACTTATTTTTATTGAAAATATTGGAAACATTAAGAAAAATAGTCTGGCAACAAACTAAATAAAAAAGATCATTTACTCTTGATGTGAAGCAACAGACGGTGTTGAGTTTGTATGAGCAAAAACTGAAAACAGTCAGCAACAGAAGTGAAGAAATGGAGAGAAAACAGTGTCGCTCATATCAAATAAGATCAATTCCAACCTATAATTTCCTGTGATGCTCTCGTAGATGTGAAGGCAATTTGAATCCAGTGTGGCTGTGGCAGACTATACCCGTAGTAATAAAAATGACTCCATAGAGAAGTAATTATTGGATTTAAATGCATTAACTGGCTGCTGCTGAAAAATTGCTGACCATAAATGGCACCAAAATTTTGGTTTGGATTTTAGAAAACCCTAATTATAACTCCATCCTTACAGAAATGATGCATGTGGTGAAATTTGTATCAGGTATCTCTGACTTAATTTGTAACTGCATGCTTGTGTGGGCTGATCCAGACAAGGTGTCATCTTATTTGATGTAAGAGGCATCGCTGCAAATTTAGTTGAGTAGCAGCTAATAAACAGCAGAGAAGGCAGACTTTAATTTGTGTAAGCAGGTGTTACGGTTACAGCTCAATTTCCCTCTAGATTATTTATTTCCCTACATTGCAATAACACGTCCCATTGGTTGGTACCAGGGTCATTGGTTGTCATATATTAGTCTTGGACTACTTCATATTACAAATCGGACTTGGCCGAACACAATCAAACATGTTTGAGAAAGATCTCACCAAGGCAGCAGGCGAAAGCTGGCAGATGAAGTGGGAGTCTGCGGTGGTCTTCATCCATGGCTTAACCCAACAGATGACTCATACCACACAAAAGGGTTTTTTTTTTTTCTCCTCTGTCAAGTATACTACAGCCAACGCAGAGTGTATAGTTTGTCTATACTTCAGCGGCGCAAAAAGAAAACTCATTATGGGATCGTCTCTCTTGCTGTACTTGCTCATAACTTGAGCCCCATTGTGGTGGGAATATAAGCCCTTTTGTGTGAGTGAGAGAGAAGATTTATGATAAGAATTAAAGGCAGCCAACGGGGGATTTGGTCCGCAATTGATTTTGCACAATTCAATTTTAAGCTTGTTGATTTATAATACGCTGTCCACATATCAATCCTGGGCCTCTCCACATGCGGTGAGCTCACTGGGCTAGCAGCTGGTGAGCTAGATCAATAAAACTGTGTGTGAGTGAGAGTATCAGGAAAAGACGGTACTGGAGGGAGTTAGCCTCTCTGTGTGTGTGTGTGTGTGTGTGTGTGTGTGTGTGCAGGTTTTCACAAACTTGGAGCTTTCCCGGCTTTGCTTACAATACCGGATGGCATTTACTTAGCACCAGGAAGCCTGTACTACAAATCCACTAAAACCTCCATCCTTTCTTCCTTCCCTTTGTTGTAGTCCGGATGTCTCTTCAATCCCCCTCTTTAAAGCATTTCTGTGGAGTCAGGAGTTTTCTTAAAACACTCCCTGAATTTAACTCTATTTGTTTGACCTTACTGGAGTTGTTTTTGGCCGATTGTCCATCTCTCACCTTCTCCTTTCCCAGACGGACGCTATTTAAGTGTGTGATGAACAGATTGCCAAGAGTTAGATAGCTGAAAGCATTGTGTATCTGTGCTATCTGCTCTCACTGATGGAAGGAGACTAGAAAAGCTATTTGCTGGCAGAAAAAGGAGCCAAAGCTCAAAGGGGGGCATGGGGAGGGGGGGGCTTTGTAAAGCAGCCAGCGCAGCCGATCCTGAGGACTTGCACTGTAGCCTTCCTCTCCCCTGCTGGATCCCTCCTTGGCCTCCCTTACTGCCATTCTACACCTGTCTGCTCTGCTCGCCATCTCTTAGTCTCTTCCTGCTTTCCCTTTGTCATCATTTTTTTTCTATGTCACATTTTTATTGTTGCATTTCCTCCTCTCCTCTCTCATTTTTTTCGTCCTGCTTTGCCACCTTCCCCCCATCGAGGTCTCACGCATACATTTTTTCGTTCTTTCTCTCTCTCTTTCCACCCATCTCTCTCTCTCTCTCTCTCCCCCTCCCTCCCCCCCTCTCCCCACCGACCTATTGCTCAGACCTTCCTCCCCTCTCAGTCAGAAAAGTCGAGGCAGGCAGGCAGGGAATGAGATTTGTTTTTCCCCCGTGCTCCACCCCATATCGTCTCTCTTCTCCCGCCTCTAGCTCTTTTACTTGTTGCATGACAGGTCCGGCACTCTGTTGAAATAAATCATCTCCCAGGACAGCGTGGATGCGTGTATGTGTGTGGGAGCAGCTGAGACCAGTAAAGGTTCCCTTATGGTAGCGCTGGGTGTTTTCTTGTGAGCGTGGCTCCGTGGCTGCCACCCTGCTCCTGTGTCTATGTGTATGTGTGTATTATTAATGCCTGTGGCTGTGACCTGCCCACACTGTTATCAGCGTGATTTATGCTCTCCCACTCCACACTATGCTTTTCAGCTTTTTGTCTTGTTCCTGTTCATTTAGACGCTTTGCCTTATTCGTTGCTCTTTGCCATTGCCTTGCTTTTTTTTTTTTTTTGGCTGGTCATTGTGTCTTTTGATGGTTGGTATGTGTGTGTGTGTGTGTGTGTGTGTAGAAGTGCGTGGTAGCCCTTCCTCACCGTCCTTGCTGTGAGTGACACAGTATTAGAGCTTAAACCAGCTCCTGAATCATGTGGAGGCTTGTCCTATTGGCCCATTTTTATCTGGCATTAAAAATTAAATGCACACGGTGATGCATGGACACTCTGTCCAGATGAAGCACGATGATGTGGGATATCAGAGTACAAGTCCAAATATACCCTCCCACCGCACAAGGGTAGCATTTTTCTTTAAAATTTTATGTGTGCCGCCTCTTCTCTCTCTCTCTCTCCAGTGTAAATTGCTAAGCTGTGCTGAATACTAACTGGCCTTTTGTATGCACTCAAGATCAGTGATGCACCAGCGTTGGAGCCTGCAGGTGGTGCTTACCACTGCGGGCTCCAGCACTCAACCACAGTCCGTGATTGCCTGAGTAACTTGTCCCAGAATTTCCTCTTAACATAACAAGGGGGATTTGGCAATTTTGCGTTTTTATATAAGAGCTTAGTGGCCAGTGAAGAGTGCGGAACGGTGGCTAAGGATTTATTACGCAACTTGATGTGGATGTAAGGGGTGTTGTAGTAGAGGTGGTAGATGTTCTGGGCAACACGTGGTGTGTGCTCCCAGCTGCACTGAAACCTGAATTCTTAGTTTTTGGGAAATGTAAAAAAAAAACAACAACAAAAAAAAACTTTTTCTGTCATATGTGAAGAAATGGTGTTAAAGCTTCAGGCCTCGGTGGGTGGTTCCCTTGAAAGTGGATGACTGACATTTGAAGGCCAATGTTGCTAGGTAACGTACCATCAACTTCTGCAGCGTGCTACCGACAAGAGCGCTGTAGCCGAGGAGTTTTGAAGCGAAATGTTTTTACCCTTTTCTCAACAAGCCCACATAAGCAGCATTCCCCATTTAGGAGGACTGGATGTGCTCTTAAATTTTTGCTTCACTCAAAAGGGGAAGCCCAGCCCACTGGGAAGCATGTTTTTGTGAGACCAATAAATGAGACAGGCCAGTGCACATATGTCTCCACTGATTTTACCAAACTAGATTGGAGGTAACTAAGAGCAGAAACATGACAGCCTTTGCAAATTTTTAAGCATTGACAAGCTGATTTTCAACTTGTAATAGTTTCCTGAGTGGAGATAATGAAGCAGCTAAGGGCAAGTTTGTAGCTGTAAAGGCTGCACACAGACAAATGGCAAGCACTTGCTTTTACGAAAAGCTGAACTGTTTCCAATGCGGTGCAGCAGTATTTATGTAAGATCTGCACATCCAGTTCATTCTTGTGATCCATCACACCAAAATACATTCACTACATCATTATTCTGTGAGCTGCAGGGAAGACAGGCCTGCCCGAATGTATGTGTCACCAGATAGGGAGGCCAAATTCATTATGTTGTATTTCACATTTCAAATGGCCGGAGTGCATCTTCAGTATTACAAGTCAGTGTGTGTTGGGTGCTTCTCTAACAAAATTGAAGGCTCCCATTGCACATATTAAAAGTAAAAGTGAAACTGCAAGAAACCCCTGTCTAACTATTCATATTTATATTTTAATTCTGCAACATGTTGTGGAAATACACATTAGACACAGTGTCTAATATTGTTTTTGGTTGCCCCTGTGTCACCAAGACAACTCTGACCCGTCAAGGCATGAACCCCACAAGACCTCTGGAAGTGCCCTGTGGTAGGAGATACAAAGACATACGCAGGAGATCCTTTAGGTCCTGGATGTTGTGAAGTGGGGCATCCTTTGATCAGACTTGTTTTTCCAGCACTTCTCACAGACGCTCGATCGAATAGAGATCTGTCAAAGTAATGTTCACATGAATGCCAGGTCCTGAGGTTTCCCAGCAGAACGCTGCCCGGAGCATCACACTGTCTTCTCGCTTTCTTCCCATAGTACACTCAGCTGCCGTCTGTTCCTCAAGCAACCGTCCCTCCACATGATGTAAAAGAAAACATAATTCATCAGACCAGGCCACCCTCTTTTATTGCTTCATGGTTCTGATGTGATGCTCAAATACATGTTGTGGACAGAGGTCAGCAGAGGCTTTGTAGCTGCTCCGTATGCATCAAGCTGTGATGCCCTTGGTTTTCTATAATAGCTACCTTTAAGGTGTTCAGTGATTTGTGCTGCTATGGTCCTTCTGTGGGATGTGACTGCACAAGCCTTCGTTCGTCACACAAATCATTACACTTTCCATCACCCTGTCGCCTATTCACCAGCTGTCCTTTTTGGACCGCTTTTTGTCAGCACTAACCTCTGCATAAAGGGAGCAGCTTTGGAGATGCTCTGCACCACTGATCTAGCCATCACAATTTGGCCCAAGACAAAGTTGCTCAAGTCCTTCTTCCCATTTTTCCTGCTTCCCACACATCAACTCTCGGAAGCTACCGCTCACTTTCTGCCTAATATATGCCACCCCTTGACTGGTGCTGTTTTTAATAAGGTAATTAGTGTTATTCGCTTCACCTTCCATTCGTTTTAACAATGTGGCTGATTGGTCTATTGAGCATGTTCTTCCAAATACGGTCACCATTTACCTCCTTGTGTGGTTAATGAAAGCAAACTCTCAATGGAAACTTTCTGAAATACAAAAAAAATGATACAGTGTTTCATAATACAGTTGTAAATCACTGTTATTATCTTACTGAGCTTTTCTACACATTAGAATATAGTTTTGTTGTACTGTTGTCCACATTAGTCCACATTGGTATTAATAAATTAGTTTAATTTATTTTCACTGCAGAAAAATATGATGTGTAAAAGAGCAGAGAAAGGAAATGAATAAATCTACAAAGGGACCAACTTGGCTTTAAAAAAACAAAAAAAACCCAAAAACATCTTTAGCCCAACACAGGCTAATGAGCACAAATCAACATGATGAGCAGACACACAATTGAATTAGATAACACAAACCAAAGGGTAATAAAATACAATAACAGAAAATGTCACATCTCCCACAAAATTGGCAAAATAAATGAATGAGCTCCGGTTCAATGAAATCGCTTTTTCAGAAATTGTTATTGAGAGCAGGATAAAACCTCTTTACCTCACACTCTCTGCCTCTTCTCTGTCCTGGCACTTGGATATTGCAGTGATGTTGCTCTTTTCTGCTTTCACAGGTGGTGCTGAAGATTATCAAGCACTACCAGGAAGAAGGCCAGGGCAGCGAGGTGGTTCAGGGCGTCCTGCTGGGCCTGGTAGTGGACGACCGGCTGGAGATCACCAACTGCTTCCCCTTCCCCCAGCACACCGAGGACGATGCAGACTTCGACGAAGGTAACCAAGAGCAATGTCTCCTTTTTCTGTTTGTTCTATCGATCTTCTCCCGCAGCTAGAGAAATGTACACACACACACACACACACACGCAATAAGATCACAACAGTCTGAAATGACTACCTGTTAAGCACCAAATACCAGTCCACGAGTAAATTGATGGGACCCTGCTGTGGCGCTGGCTGCTGAATTTATGAGACGATAATATTAAAACGCTTCAGTAACATGGAGGCTTTGGTGTTTGCTTGTTATCAATTTTTGAAACTCTACTACTCTACTTCTTTTTCATGTAAATTCCTCTGCATGTCACCCTGAAGTGCAAATATGAGTGATTTTTGTTGTTAATTTGCACCGAGTACTTGAGAATATTATTTAAAAATATTTCAGGAGCTTTTAGTTGTATAGTTTAATATTTCATTTGAGCATGTCATTGACAGCCAAGAGAGCCATAAAGTTATCGGATATTGCATCAAGCCAATTTAGTCCTTCATTCACAATAAATAAGAATGAACAGAGGAGTCCTGGTATCCTCGACTCACAGCAAAACTGTGCTTCAGAGCAAACGTTTTGACAGGAAACAATATAATGATAAAAATGCTTGGTTCACACAGATATGTTTCTGAGAGATAGGCTGGGAATCACTGTTCTTCATCTGCTAAAAATGCAACATACCTTGAAAAAATTGACTCGAGAATAGGAGAGCAATCAGATCAATAACTCAGTGAATGTCTTGGAAGCGTGTGCATGAGGTGTCCCCAGGCACAGCGTTAAGGACAATGCCGACTTCTAACTAAGCTAACTAGGTACTGGGTGTCCTACACTGTCAGTGGCGGGGTTGATGTGTGAGGGCAGGGATGGAGCGTTCCAGCTTTTGGGTTACAGGTGGGCGGCGAGAACGTGCGCAGGTTTTGATTTAGTCTTTATCTTTACGCATATGCTTTCCTTTTTGTCCTTCTGCTTCCTGTCAGCGTCGGTATCACAGGATGCCGCGTCCTCTGACCTCTGCCCTTCCCCTATCACATCTCGATGTTACCTGCTCCTTGTTAGTGCAGGAAAATCCGCTTCAAGCCAGACTGAGGGATGGGAGAAAGATGCGCAGATGTAGGGGGGATAGGAGAAGAGCGAGAAAATCCTGGTCTAACAGGCCTCTGCTGCTAACGAGCAGCCGTCAAAAATTCAGCAGGATCCACTGGTGGCTAAAGGTCGTTAGTGTCAGGACAGCTCAGTGTGTGTGTGTGCGTCTGCGCTGGTGAGTGTCATGGCTTGTTGTGTTGTTGACTTTTGATGTGTGGGATTTTCCATCTGTCTCTCCCTTTAAGCTAACAAGGGCTTCAGTGAGAAGCGCCTTGCTGTGAACCCTGGGAAATTTACAGAGCTACAACAGAATTCCTCTCAACAGGGATTTTGATCCCGCTGCAAAAGGTGACAGGCTTCAGATTTTCTGTCAGTATAGAACCAAATTCAAAATGGAAATGCGATGGGAGACGTTCATGTTTTGTGTGTGTGTGTGTGTGTTGTTTGGTGTTGACTTTTGTTCTTATAAGCGAGAACAGTACGTCATAAAGTAGACAGCTCTGTAACTACGCAGTGATCCTGCCTGTGCTTTTTGTGCTAGCAGACAGGAGTTTATGCTACACTGTATAATTGTATCCACTAAATCAAAGCCACGGAAAGACAGTTACACGTAGAAATAAAATGGTTACACAGACCAAACATGACAAATGGGTTTTGTGGCTGTACATTTGGTCATTTTGTTCTCGTACTCCAGCCTGAATTGTCTACCCACGCACACAGCTGACCAGTCAGGCCACTCTTTTTTTTCCTCCGTCTCGTCTACTCGGTAGCAGCTAATTGTTGTGTTTCATCTGTGCTGATGTTGGGGCGTGTTGCCTCGACCCACTGCAGATGCAGCAGAAGAAGACAGAAATAACAGTGCGAGTCTGACTGTGAAACAATAATGTCTGTTTGAAAACTCTATCGAAGACAGTGTTATTCTTCTAGAGCTGGGCTTTGACATTATGTACCTGATGCATGTCAGATCATTGTGTTTATTGGAGTGAAACCACGTGCCTCCAAACGAATGTCTCCTGCCACGGTACTGACACACAGTGGGCAATGATACCCTTTAAAATTTGGGGCAGTCCTCCCAGTACCAGGGCCATCTGTCGAAATCCAGTATTCTCGACAGTGCTAAAGGCGAGTATGTTCTGGCATATAAAGTAACTCTCCGTCTTAAACTAGTAGGTTAAACCGTAGGAGACAGTGTAATTTGGAAGTAGTTGCTCATACTTGCATTGTTGTGCTGAGTTGATTGCTCCTGGAAGTATTGCTTCAATCAGTGCTCTATTATTCTGTTTTTTTTCTCTGGAGCTTGGCAGGTGATGAGAAGGTCGTACAAACACACAGTTACCCTCCAGAGGCGCGGAGGAAATCAGTTTTTTTTAGACAGCAGTGTCAATTGTTGATGAATTTTCAACTAAATTAGTTTTCTCTTTTGTGTCTACGTAGCCCCATCTCTGAGTATTATACTGACTCTGTGATGCATATCAGTGAATCGTTGCACCCCCCCATAAAGCCTAAGATTTGGGTTGAGAAAGACTCAGCCGAGCATTGCGCACTCTCCACCTGGCTTTGTCAGGCGTCCTCCAAGACCCGCGTGTGTGGATAATATCACTATCTGCCCCGTGTGTTTGTGCATTTGACTGCACCGGTGTGATCTGTGTGTGTACCTGAATCATCTTACACTGACTCATTGCCTGCTTGAGGCCCCTCGCATTAGAATTACTCCTCCAATCTATCTCTGGAGGAACGATGGACAGGATTGGCAGCGACGTGACTGTGGTTTCTTTTCTTTTTCTTTTTTTTTTTTTTTCCGTGTCCTTGTTCGTGAGCACATTGGTGCGTGTGTGTGCTATGCTGCTTTTTCATCAACAGGTGCCAGTATGGAGCTGTAGTTGCAGGACAGGCTGTGGCAGCAAATGTGACCAAAATGAGTGAGAAAAAGATAGAGAAAGAGTAATTGAGCGCACACAGGCTCAGATTAAAAAAAAAAAAAAAAAAAACCTTGGCTGAACCCCAACACTCCTATCTCCTGTGTCCTTGCACACTCTGTCCTTGTATCACTGACAAAATGTATGGAGAGAGGTGTGTGGAACTGCAGACAGTTACTCTCTAGGCATTTTGTGCAATAGAGGCACTCAAGTAGCATGTTAATAATGTGCGCTGGCCCTCTGCCTTTGTTGTGATATCAGCGATAATACAAAGGCGAGCTATCCTGGTACAGAGAGATTATTAGGGACGTGAGCGTACACAAATTTTACATCAAGCCTTGCAAGGTACTGATTGTGACTCTTCGTTCCCCTGGCGTGTACACAATAACACACCGTCCACTGTGGCTTTACAGATTCAGGACAAGGGCTGTATTTATCAGTTATCAGGGTTTGTTACATTAAGAAAGTAATTATGGAAATGTAGCATTTTAGCCGTTTTTTTTAATGATGCATAAAGCTACATTACATGATAATTTGAAATTAAAATGCTCTCTTTGTGTGAGAGTGTTGCTGCGACCGAATCGCACTGAGAATCAACGCTGCAGTTTCCAGTTAATTGTGTCAGTTTGGCGATCCATATGGTTCTCATTATGGCTCGAACTCACCTCTGGACTCTATCAACAAATAATGTCAGTCAGGGCTCCAGAGTGTAACCATTTTCGTCACACATGCGAGCGAAAATCTGTAAAAGTGCGACTAAACTTTTTTGTATTGGTTGCACCAGTTCGCCTGACATTTAGCAGTTCTGTGAATATAGTGGTGTGGTTTTTTTTTTTCCACCCACATTCTGTGCTACATCGCAGATCGTCTGCTCTGCGAGTTGCTGATTCCTCTGCTCCTCTCTGAGCTTCTATCAACTGGTAACCTGCACTGTGCTTTGACTAACAGGTGCTACTGTGGTCCATAGTTGGCCCGTAGGATTGAGTTTGATGTTTTAGCTTCATAATTTCTATGCAGCCTGCATATATTAGTAGCATTGGATGTGCTGGTTTAGGTGCTTACTTTCTGCCCTATTAGAGACAATAGTGAATTACAAAGAACATCTTGTTGTAAGGTTTTAATGTTCTTTATGCATTGTATTGGTTGTGTTACATTGTGCAAATGGTGTTTACTTTTATTTGCTAACTTGCAAGGCTCTTTCTTACACAGTTATCTCCCATCTGATTTGGTATGCCAGTTGTTAACACTGTTAATCCCATCTCTGAGCAGAGTCATGTGGGGCATCGGGTCACTTTTGGTTTGGTAAGGGGTCGACAGATTCTTTTATTTTGAAAGGTTATCTCCAAGTAACTGTAAATGCTCTGTTGGCAAGTCAGTAATAAACCAACCATTAATCCCTGCTACTAGTTCAACACCCACTGAACATTCACATTTTAGTACTGCTGCAGCATTCTCCTCGTTTGTTATTCAAGAGATCACGGTCGGAGGTCACAGCATCCTCTTCAAAACACAAACGCAGAAGCCCACTGGATACATTAATTATTGCAGAGCCCAAAGGAAAAACTTTTGGGTGCGTCTGACTTATATAATGACAGAAGTCAGGTGCACCAGTGCAACCATTGTGAAAAGTTTGGAGCCCTGTCAGTTCATTGAAATGTCACTGCACTACAGTTTTTGTCAGTGTGTGGGTGTTTATTTTCTCTTGTCTCATCCTTGCATGTTCTGCCATGCACCTGTCTATTCTCATACGGCTTTACAATGATTTGTTTTCAATTTTCTATATTTTCACCAACCGCTGAACAGGAACTGTGGGCAGCTGCTCCCATCTCAAGCTCTTGCAAACAGTTGCACTCTGCACAAAGTTCACCGCCTAGTTCAGAATGGCGTAGAAGTGCCGTAAGTGAAGTGAGCGGCTGGAAATAAGAGCTGAGTATCTAGCTAGCCAGATATTCGGGTGTTTTTCGTCGGAGGTGGACTAACACTAAAGTACTAAGAAAAGTAGCAACATAAAC